CCTGGGGTAAAGAAGCTCACTCAATCAGAAGAGGAGGCCATTGTTCAATACATCATTGAGCTATCTACACGATGTTTTCCACCAAGACTCAGTGGTGTGGAAGAAATGGCCAACCACCGGGTTCACGTCGGAACGGCAAGAGCTGCCCCAAGCGGGTTTGCCACAAGGATCACCGCTATCCCCGATACTCTTCCTCCTTGTTTGCGTTGATTTTGTTCTGCACCAGGTCTGCGTTAAAGAAGGAGGAAGAGTATCGGGGATAGCGGTGATCCTTGTGGCAAACCCGCTTGGGGCAGCTCTTGCCGTTCCGACGTGAACCCGTTTACCACGATGGTCGCCGTGCGCTTAAAGCAAAAGGCATCGATCCACCTAACCAGGGACTCTGGTATGCCTCTTGCCCTGAGCCTCTGCAGTAGCCTGTCTTTGAAGACCCCGTTGTATGCACCCTTTACATCGAAGCTGATCAGGCTGAGCACTTTTCTGGCTCTCCATGCTTTGTAGGTTTGTTCTTGCATCAGTAGGAGCGCCTGCTCAGTGGACCGTCTCTTCCTGGCTCTAAAGTGGTTCGCAGGTAGCAACCCAAATGTCTCTACCGCGTAGGACAGGCGTTCCGCAATGACTGCCTCCAGTATCTTGCCAAGCGTGGAGGTAGCGAGATAGGTCTCCAGGTGGCGGCCGCCGTACGGAGGCGAGTTCGACGCCATGATGACGCCATGCCCTTTGTCATCTCAAGTTCGTGCGAGGCTTGCCACTGACCGTCTTATATCGCGGCCCCAGTATAGCATTACACCCCCTCGCTCCGATCACAATACACTGCACGGTCCTTGATTGCTATACTCAAAATAGTAAGGTGAAAAGCCAGGTCTAGATTTCAAGGTGTAGGTCCCATTTCCCGGCACGCCAAGTTGCCGTTTTACCGCCATAGCACCGCCCCAACTCCGAGTCGAGACCCTCATCCAGCCTGACCAGACACCCAGCCGCTCCGGCGCGTGTAAGGCATAGTAGTAGAAAGGGCACTGGCAAAATGGCATCCAACTATACTTAAA